ATCCTCTCAATTGCATTAGAGAAACCTTGTTTGAACCCGTTCTCACCTCTCCAAAGATGTGCAATTTCAGCCATACACTCGACCAAGATCTTATCTTCCTCGGCGGTCCAAGTGTGATTGCGTTTGTTTCTGAAACTCTGACTTTCCTCCGACATAATTTTAGTGTTCCACGTTTGTACCTGCGATAAACATTTTCAAAATCAGTACACTTACTATGTCAATTGTTTTCCTCTTTGTATTAGCACAATTTAAATAAGTAACTTGAACAGGTTATAAACACCCCTTAACATAAACTCACGAAAAATCAATAAGTACATTACAGGGACAATATGTTTGTCAAAGTATTTCATATTACAACATAAACGGAAATAGCTGCAAAAGTACATAACGTGACAATGGAAACAAAAAATAAATTGCAAAATGCTTGGCTCATCTCTGTTCATATTCAAACACGATTCCTCCAGGTGTTAAACATGTCATGTGCCATTTCATCCCTGCGCAGTGTCCAAGCATTAGATGACTCAACATGAGTGATGAAATCAAGTCCTCCAATGTTATCTTCAACGTGTTGCATATAAACTTCTTCACCGTCCAGTGGGTCCACTGCCATCTCTCTCCGTATGTGGTTATGAAGCAAGCAACATGCGCTAATAATCCTGCATTGAGTTTTAACGGGATAAAAGGACTTTGATCGGACAATAGCCCAACGCCCCTTAAGCATCCCGAAGCAACATTCAATGACATTCCTTGCAGAGGAATGTTTCATATTAAAAAATTCTTGGGCTGTCCTTGGCTGGGCACCGTGCCTCCATTCACTAAGATGATATCGTTGTCCTCTATATGGCGTAAGGAAACCTTCCCCATTCATGTAACCAACATCACCTAGGTAATAGTATCCTACATCACAAGTTACAGTTAACTTATATCAAAACATGTAATACAGTAAGTAAAATAACTAACCCACAATAAATGATCATGTCAATGAGTCATAGTGCATACCTTTAGGAACCTTCAAACCGTCTGGACGACTTATGGCATCTCTTAGAACCCTAGAATCTGCAGTTGATCCCTCCCAACCAGGCAAGACGAAAATAAACTGACCATCTTGAGAACAAACCCCTAAAACATTAGTTGATATGTCACCCTTTCTAGTCTGGTATCTGGCCTTGTCCGCCAGTAAGGGGTTAATCTTTATGTGTGTCCCATCAAGTGCTCCCAAACAATTCTATAATTCAATTTAGAATATTAGTAACACAGACACACGATTGGTGACTCCAAATGTATAGCATGAATTAGGGATCACGTGGACTAGTAACTTACCTTGAACCACTTCCACTTATCATCGGTCGAGTTTTCCAGGATTGGCTCAGGTTGTTTTAGTAGAACATTATGACAACGTAACACTGCAAGCAAAACATTAGAGAACTGTCTACTAATGGTTTCTCCGGATCTCATGAATTGTCTTTTAATTATCCTATTCTTGACATCGTGGGCCAATATGTGAAGAAATATTGCAACCATCTCCTCTACACCCATATGCCTCGTCGGTTGAAGTTTACCAACGGTTTTAAGCAACCCACACAAGTTATGAAAAAACCTCCTGTCCATCCTTGTATTCTCTGTACACGCCGTGTCACTTATGTGAACAATCCTAAGGAAGTTTACTTCCCTTACTCTAGCCCTCCCACGATGGTCCAATGACACTCTCCTGCGTCTATTTCTCCGGTTTTCACCAATGCGTAACAAAACAGCACATATACTGACAAACATGTTAGTCAGTTGATGCAAAGACTCCAAATGAGTAATGAGTACGAGTATGACACTAAACTCCATTCCATTGTCGATGGCCATTATCTAACACGTGAAGGACAAAAAGATCCAGTTAAGTAATTACCAAAAAAATTAAACATCATGGCTTTTAAAAACGAATTTATCATATATTACTTTCCTTTCAATAATGCAAATGCATGATCACGTTGAGGATAAAATCCACACCACATCCCTTTTCCTCTCAGCGAAAACAACTACTATATACTTCTGTTCTTTTGTAATAATTAGTTAATCACCATGCTTGCAAACTAGTTACTAGATGAGGAAAATTGTGTCCACATATATAAGACAAGATGCTTAATATTGATGTTTTGTTATTATATTTAGATATTGGGTTTTATTTTGTCTTGACGTGACTGCATCTTAAAAGGAAAGAGGAAAATGATTGTCAATTAGATATCCAAATATTCATCTGAACACTAAAAGTTCAATTGTAGATTATGAGCAGCCTTTTGTTAATCCCCTAGTTTTCTGTTCATGGTAATGGGTTGTTTATTTTGCAATACTCTTCTTCATTGCAAAAGTAGGAAAAGAAGTAAACTTGTAATGAGATGATTAAACTTTATATTATGGTAACAAGAAACTGCAAAACGAGATATATAGAAAAAGACAAAGTTATCATGTTTTTTTTTAATTAACAACTGAAGCTTTCCTGTATAGGCTGTAAGCAGAATGCTACTTTCCTAGTGAAGTTAAATAACAAGTAGCAATTTCCAACCTTTTCCCATACAGTATAGTACCTCAAGTGTCATTTTCTCACATATACTTGACACAAAACAAACAGCCATTCACTTCACATACCTTGTCATTTATTATTTATCTCTCTCTATCTTTCTTTCTCTTTGTCTTTGTCGTCTCCTCTCAACCTCAAATATCTCCTCTGCAACAACTCCATCAAAATTGATTGAATGCTTCAAACCCCCCATCACACCCTTTCAGAATCTCTAATTAATTACCCTTATCTCTTGCAATCACTGAGCCAACCCTCCATCTCAATATATATATTTTGTTTTGTAAACCCAGGCTTGATATTTTTTTTACTATATATATATATATATATATATTGCACAACAGAAAAGAATACTTAGGAGAAGGAAAAATTACATAACTGAAGGACAAACAGGATCACATACACATACTTATTTGGTTTGTGGGAATGCTTGTGATAGGCAAGGATGGAACTATTCCCAACACAACCAGACTTATCCTTGCAAATCAGCCCTCCAAACAGCAAACCCACATCAAGTTGGAGGAGAAGTACTACAACAGAAGAAGACATGGACTTGGGGTTTTGGAAGAGAGCTTTGGACTCTAGAAACTCCTTATCATCATCATCATCAAAGTCCAAAAAGGATACTTGATTTGATCATGACCTCTCCCTCCCTAATCCAAAGGCTTCAGGTGTCAAAAAACTCCAACCTCATTCATCACTTCCAAAACGGTAAGGCCAATCCCTTCCAAACATTTCAGCAAAACCATTACTTCCACAACCAGCCAATTTTCCACCACCACCACCAACAACAACCACAAATCCAAAGCCTAAGCCAAGAACTTGGTTTTCTCAGACCCATCCGAGGAATCCCAGTATACCTAAACCCTCCTCCTATGCCATTCTCTCAACAACAACATCAACATCAACATCATCACAACATGATAATTTTTTTATATTATTAACATAACATTCAAGACCTACTTCCCATAAACCCAAACTTAATAAATCATTTTAAAAAAGGTTGAATGTCACGAGGGTCCATAAAATAAGCTTATGAATATATTTTATAACAATGGATCAATTATAGGAGATGACAAAATGAAAATTTTAACTTCTACGTAAAAGTTCAAAAAATAAGATATACATGCAGCTAACACCACTTACTTGATCTGAGAATGAACTTCAAGTGATGGGGAAGTAGGATGCAGCTAACACCACCGTGTACCGAAAGAGAGAGGACAACTCCAAAAATATGACTGAGCGAGCTTCAAGTGACGTGGTTGTGCTGAGTTACTCTTTTGCAAAATGGCAGAGCAGATACAAACGTAAATTAGATGGGGGGAAATCTCACAAAAAGCTCCATCATTGGTCAATGAGTCTCATTTTTAATTGGTTTTTATAAACCCACAAATTTGAGAATACGAATTCTCCTTCAATTTTATACAAAAACACACATATCATATAATAACAGAAAGATCTCCATGTGTAGAACAAAATTCTCAATTGAAATGGAAAGAGATTTCAAAAAATCATATATTTAATATTTCAAATAAAAGGCACCCAAGTAATCTAGATGAGAATATGCCTTGTGGGGAAGATAGTTGTCCACTTTAGACTAACCCCTTTCGATCTATTGCCTCTTGGGTTAAAGATACAGGGAAAGCTTTTCAATTAAAAATCTGTAAAATGGTTTAGGCCAAAAATTAATGTTTACCCGTGAAGAACTATTACAAAAACAAACATGTTTTACTCCTATAAGGTGTGGTTTGTCATAACCTTCTTTCCGTTCTTCCTTTTATATTTTTATTTTTATAACTTTCAACAGAAAGAGGATGAACAGAACTCTAGACAGTAATCTAGCTGAGTGGAAGATAAGCTATTTTTCATTTTTAAAAACGATTACGAATCATCAACAAATCATGTTCCATATTTGTCAAAAACAAGCTGGGTGAGATCGAAGGTAATGGAAAGCAAACCTTCTGAAGCTACTTGCGGGAAGGTCAGATCGACAACCACCATGCACCACCTTGCTTTCTTCCGATCGCTACTTGCGGGAAGGTGCTCTAAGCTGATAACCTACAGAAGATTGGCATCGTATCATCTCTGTTGCATTTTGAAAGGGTATATTGGTTATACAAAAATAACACAAACAGTGGTTTACCGTGGTTTTACAAAAACCCACATAGCAAAAAGCTTTTCAAACAGTACCGAAACATGTCTTTTTCCATTTAAATTCATAAACCTATGCATATTGGATAACCAGCTTTCTGTGAGAATCTATTCAACCAAACACTTCTATCCTAGAATCCTTCTCTCACTTACCTAGGAAAATTTCAGAAAGACTTCAGCCAAACACCACCTAACTTTAATCTGGACAAACATTAATCCCAAAAAAGAATTTATAAGCATGAGAGCTGGTTGATTTATTGAAAAAAAAAAATGTAATTGGGTGGAGACTTGACCAAACCAGATCTGATCCGTCTTGTTCACTCTCACTGTACACCTTAGAGAACACCATGGCCGATCACCGTCACCACCACCAACATCGACCGCACAGCCTCTCCCTACCATCGCGCACCACCACTTTCTCCGCTACACCGAGACGCTATCCTACGTTCCAATACTCATCATCATCATCAACCCCAACTCCTACACCATCGAAACAGCGTGGTGTTTCTTCTTTCTCCACATCCTTCAATTCCAAATCATCTTTCTCCTTCCTCTTCCTCCTTCTCTTCTCTCTTCGCTCCCTATATTCCCTTCTCCCTTTTCTTCGTTCTTCCCCTTCGTTTTCTCTCTTCCCTTTCTCTTTCCTCGTTTCTCTTCTCTCCTTCTTCCTCACACTCTCCTTTTCAATCTTTTCATCCTCCTCTTTTTCTTTCTCTTCTTCCAAAGACCCTTTTCACCAACACAAGCCTAAGAAGCCTCTTTTTATGTTATCTTCAATCACGCACTCTCAGCAAAGGGTTCTCGTTACAAAATCAGTTCTTCTGGCTCTGGTCTTTCTCCTTCGGTTTCAAGCTCTTCGATACTGCGGCACCGCCGCCATGATCCTCGCCGAGTTCATGGGAAGCGTGGCTGCTCGGGTTTTCGCTGAAAGAAGAAACCATAACGAGAAAGGGTGGAGTAAGGTTCGTGGGTTCGTGTCGTTGTTTCTTGGATTGTTCATGTTGTCTTTTGGTTGGGATCAAATTGAATGTTTTCCTAGTAAATGGTCAAAACCCAGTGAGAATTGTGTGAAGATTTGGCCATTGTTGCTTCCTTTTATGTCTGGGTTTTTGGGTTGTTTTGAACGTGTTTCGATGGATTGGGGAACGGTTAAGCAGATTGGTCATAAACGGGTTAGGCTAATTACACTCTTTTTCACTACAGTTGTGCTTTTTGTTCCTGCTATGATTAGTTTTCTCGTGTTTGAATCTGAAGAAGATAGTGTTGCCTTTGGGAATATGGCTTGGCCTCTGGCCAACACTGTTGTTTTTGGTGTGCTTTTGAGCGAAAATTTTAGTGATGAGAAGTTGGTAAGTTCCAAAGACTCTCATAGGGAATTTTTGGTGACTTTTGCTTGTACCCTTGTATTGGAGCTTTTCTATTTTCCTAATCTTTCCCTATGGGGTTTGTTGCTTTGTGGCTTATTGCTCTATGTGGCTGTTAGAGACTTGGATCCTTTTCATTTCAATGATCTTGGGTCAGGAGGGGAGTCTTCTGAGTTTTTGAGTGACATGATTATGAAGCCTATAAAACATATTTTGAGCGAGAGGAAATCCCGGAAAATCGCACTTTTTCTTTTGATCAACACTGGTTATATGGTTGTGGAATTTGCTGCTGGATTTATGAGCAATAGTCTTGGACTGATATCAGATGCATGTCACATGTTGTTTGATTGTGCTGCTTTGGCAATTGGGCTGTATGCTTCTTATATATCTCGTTTGCCTGCAAATAACCAGTATAACTATGGCCGGGGAAGATTTGAGGTTCTATCAGGATATACTAATGCTGTTTTTCTGGTTCTTGTGGGTGCACTGATAGTGGTGGAGTCCTTTGAGAGGATATTCGATCCTCAAGAAATATCAACTAAAAGTTTGTTGGTTGTCTCTATCGGAGGGCTTGTAGTCAATGTCATTGGCTTGATATTCTTTCATGAGGAGCATCATCATGCCCATGGAGGATCTGGATCATGCTCACATTCACACGCACACTCACATAGTCACCATCCCAACCATCGTCATGATCTGCATTGCGAAGGTGAACATCATCATGAAGGACATGGAAGCAATCAAGAATTGATTTCTGTTTCCAGTGATTGCCAAGACAATTCATACTCTAGTGATCTTGGTCATCACGACCACTGCAGTCATGAGAGGAAGGCTGAGTGTCATGCAGAAAATCACAGCATTCAGAGCTTTAAGCATCATGAAGATGCCCATCTGCATGAACCCCATGACCCCACCCACCGCCATGACCATCACGACCACACCAGCCACCACGATTTTCATCACCATCTTGATGCTGACCACCATGGTCAAGAAATTCCACTTGTTCACCCCTTGGAGGTTGTTCATAATGTCACCAGTTCCGGTTGTGAAGGAGTTTGTTCTTCTACAGGAAATTGTGATACCCACCAGAAGAAAACATTACGTAATCCAAAAGAGCCCCAAGAGCACAGCCATCGCCATATTGATCACAATATGGAAGGCATTTTCTTGCATGTTCTTGCAGACACACTGGGGAGTGTTGGTGTTGTTATATCTACCCTATTAATTGAGTACAAGGGATGGCTTGTTGCTGATCCTGCCTGCTCAATTTTTATTTCAATTTTAATTATATCATCCGTGATACCTTTACTCAGAAATTCAGCTGAAATTTTGCTCCAAAGAGTTCCAAGGGTGCATGGGCATGAGCTGAAAGATGCCTTAAATAATGTTTTGAAGATAAGGGGTGTTTACGGCATTCAAAAGTTTCATTTATGGAGTTTCACAAACACAGATGTAGTTGGGACACTGCATCTACATATATCAACAGATTCCGACAAGACATCCACGAAGTCTCAGGTCTCACATCTATTACATAATGCTGGAATCAAGGATTTAACCTTGGAGGTGGAATGTGTTGTTGCATAGTATTTTTCCAAGTAGTTCTTATCAGCAAGGGTAGCCATGACTATGATTGCCAGTGAAGTCTGTGGATGAATTACTGACATATACTTTGGAATAGAGGTACAAATTTCCCGATCGTTGTCATGTGGAATGTTTGATAATATTACCACATGTATACCTGTCTATTTTTACCTGAGGGATGATGATTTTTGTTATGGGTCAGTTTGTCGGGTTTCATAAAATAGCAAAGTTGTAACTTATTTTGTATACAGTGATATAAAGAGACAAGCATAGGCAGTAAAAAAGCAGTTGAAAATGAAATAAAAAAATAAGGTCCAAGTATCACCTTTTAAGATCCAAGTATCCTGATCTTTGACGATCTCAAATTATTCTTACTTCCTTTGGTTTGTGCTTCTGGATCTTTGACGATCTTAGATCACTCTTACACCCTCTCTATCTTCCACACTTGCGTATAGGACAACCCCCAAATTTGCACCTTCTTTGTTGTGTAAGTTTACACGTCAAACTAGCACATTGGTCCTTCATGCTTCGTATGTGACTTCTTCAGACAGCTCCTAATGTTTCAGGATAGGGTTAATGGGATCTTGGACTCCTGTTAGTAAATATAGGTTTCCTAAAGATAATGCAAGAGTAAAATAACACTTTATTTATAAAGCGTTACATGATAATTAATTAATAAGGGCAAACTTTATGTATTTCATATTGATTGTCTCCTCTCTTATGCGTAGGCACTTGAAATAGTATAAATGTAGCTTTAGAATTTATGATAAGATCATAATCATTAGAAGAAATGGCATTGATCATCTCGATCAAAATCGAACTGTGAATTCTTATAATATGTATCATTGGATTTGTAATGTCTCTTATTATTTAGTAATACCGATCATCCTTAGACTTGAGTTTGTCATCATATATTATGTTCGAGAGTTATATTTAGGGGTACAACTCTATCCAACTAAAAGATGGGGAGAACAATTATGAGTATAAGATGGATAAGCCGAAGGATTCATCAACCCTTCTTAGGAATTATTGTCCATAAGATTGGTGGGCTTTGGATGACTTTCATAAAACTTGAGAATCTATGCATAGTAAGAGATCGTGAAGAATTCATGGATCTATCTTACAGTTTATGGAAGGAGACTCTTTCTGCTGGCAAAGCAACTTTTAGTAACCAAAAGAGTTAATACAATTTCCTTACTCTTGACTAAAAGGAGGATAACAAACCCAAGTGTGGTGGCTCAGTTGGTAGCATGGGGACTGGATGGTGAGAGAGGACCTCGGTTCGAAGTCTACCAACACCATATGGGGAAGGGCATAAGTACTGTAATCTTTGGACTCGCACCCGAACTCTGGATTAGTCCCATAGGCGGCTCAAAGAGTCGAACCCGTGGGGATACCAGAGGGTTCTAATTCGCCTCAAATGGGTAATTAGAATCAGTTTCAAAAAAAAAAAAAGGAGGATAACAAGATGAAGTTATAGATTGACACAATATTTAAATTAGTGATAAGAACTTGATCAACTCAATTAGTTTTGGGGCCATATAGCATAGCTAGTGCTCACTATAGTCACTGGACAAGTTGGGCTCATTAAAGAGTTTAATGTCCAAGCTTGTTTATGTCATTGACTAATGAGGTCTAATAAGTAATACACTAATATTAACTAAATGTTATGACCGATCAAATTTTTGGGCCTTAATTGCTTGAATGAGTTTTAATGACTATTATGAAATAAAACTAGGCAAGAACATTCCAAGTATGTATTGGGCTTAAAACCCAACACATGCCTTGGAAAAGGTGGTACAAGAAGCATAGGCATTGGCTTAAGTTGACATACGCTTAAGTTGGTGCTAGCTTCTTGTCCACATACGCTTAAGTTGACACCTCATGCTATTGGGCTCGGGGCCACCACTTAACCTAGGTGACTTATTGACTTGTCATATCCTTGTTTCTTGGAAAGCAAGGAAAATCACACCTAATCTTAAATTTGAGATAAGGGTTTAATATGATTCAATTTTATCTTAATTTGAAGATTAAGATTTGACTTTATCAAATCTTTATTTTTGAAATAAAGAATATGGTCCCTACATATCTTAAATAAAGATAAAGATTAAATAAGATTATCTTAATTTAATATTTTATTTTGTCAAATCTTTATTTTTCAAATAAGGACAGTGGACCCCACCAATTTAAGCAGGACAAAAATTAGATTATACCTATCTTAATTAGGGAAAGTAAATTAAGTAGATTAATTTGAATTACAAGAGGAGTAGATTAGGCTTCTAGAATTGGATCTAAGAAGATATATCTTGATTGGATGAAAGGGTTTCATCTATGTCAAGCCAAGAAAAGAAGAAGTAGAAGGTGACATACATGTTCTTGGAGAACCTAGTGCCACCACCTTAGAGAAAAACCTAGCGCCTCATTTTTTCTTAGTTTCTTTCTTCGTGTTTCTTTTGGTTGTTGCACCTCCATTGATATATCTTGTTGAACCCTAAAGGTTTGTGACGACAAGTAACTTGAGTTTTGATTATAACAACGTACAAGCAAACTCAACATGCAAGCACATTGAGGAAGACAATGCTACAAGTCCCAAATGAAGTCAAAATACTTGTGCAATATGTCAAAAGCAAGGAAGAAGTCAAATTGGCAAAGTCAACTCTAAAGTTAAAGTTTCAAAGTCAAAATGTAGACTTAAGGAAGTTAAAGCTAGAACAAGCAAGCAAAGCCAAGTCAGAAGCTCACCTAGTTAGAATTTCTAAGGGAATGAGGTTTATTGAGTTTTCTTAACAAGAAATGCATTTATGCTTCACAAATCATGCATTTACGGAGCCTAACTAGTCCAAACATGCATACTTGATCACACACACATGATAACATGCTACACAGAGGCTAGACACATTCATTAATGTGTTAGAAGTCATTAGAAGCCATTTGGAGTTGAATTGCATAAAAAATTGCATAAATAGGCGCTTTTGTTCAGATGTTACTCGCATAACTCAGAATCACTTACCCGAGTACATGACTTGCTTTAGTAACTCGAGTCACTTACTCACATAAATGACAAAGAATACTTACCCGAGTACATGCCCTACACTTACTTGAGTAACTGATAACATAAAGCTAAAAAATAGGAAATTCGATCTCTTACGACTATAAACGGCTAGTACATATATTAGACTCTTATTTAAACATATGATAAGGCTTTCTAGGCACAAATTAACATGTGATAACATCAGATTACAGAGAATTCAGATGTATCATCATTTTGAGGCAATTTGCATACTTGGGGAGAAAGTTCTATAATTCTTCATTATTCCTTGTTTCTTCTAATTTTTCTTTTTTATGAAATTGAGAAAAGGTTGTTGAACATCTATTTTGAGTCGAATTGTTGTTGGAATTGAGTTTGGTGATTTGGAGAGATCTTATGGGTGTATAGGTTGAGAGATTGACCAAGATTGGTCAAGATTCTTATAAAACTCCACTGTATTATGGTTTTTCAAACACCTGTTGGAAGTTATAAGATTAGTGGATGATTTGTGATAATTTGGACGTAGACTTTTAGTGGTTTGCTGGTGAACAAAGATAAATTCAGTGTTTGATTCTCTAAACCATTTTAATCTTTGTTTTGAATCTTTTTTTGGGTTAGATATCATTTATTTTTTATTCATTTAAGATTTTAATTGATTTCTTAAAGAAGGGGCTAAGGAACAATGATTTCTTGGAAAACAAGTTACCACAATTCACCCCCTATTAATGGATTTAAGCCATTCTTGATTAACACGTCCACCCAAACACTTGAGTCCTTTATCTTTTTTCTGGCCTAGCATGCTTTTAAGGAAGGAGAGTTCTTGGAGAAGAATGAGTTCTTTGCATACAATTGAAGGAAATAGTGTGGACTATCGTTAGATGGGCCTAAAGAGATTCATTCCTTTCAAGTGTAACCATATAAGTGGTTGAAGCACTAAAGGATTGTAACAACCTATTGTACACCGATATAGTTAACATTGATTATGATATTAAGCGCAGTTACAATCACAACAGTTCATTTAAAAATACGAGTAAACTTTTTCCTTTTCATTTTGTAAGCGTTTAAAAACAATAATAAAACGTAATGACATGAACTGGGATCGTAACTGAATTCTAATGCGGAATAAATAAAATAAATGCCTAACTATCATACATTATTTTAAGTCATTAAGGGGTCCCCATAAATCCACTTAGCATAAATCTCATTTTTACGGTTTTTTCATAACTGAACATGCTTCAGTCTTTTTGACATTGTGCAAAATATCCATGCTACGAACCTCTCATCTTTTAGTATGTTATTCTAGACTCAATTACCTTTCCAACAAGGTATCACAGGCCTCATAAAGTTCTCATTTTCTCCGGTTATCATCGTTTAAAGTTGGATAAGCAAAACCGTCAGCCAACCCCAAACAGGGCACCAAACATACCTCACCATATCTGCGATTCTGAAAAACTACTCAACCAATTGCTCTCAAATTTTTATAAAGTACACTAGACACCTTAATATTTAATTTGACATATCATGAGCCTAATTTGAGTAAGAATTGAGGGAGAAACAATTTATACAAGACAGGGACCCGAACAGCCCCTGTGCTGGGCCATCTGGGCAGTCTCCACTCAAACGCGTCTATAGGTCGCTACACAGCTTCAATTGCTACCAAATTTTGGCACAAAATATCTGACATCTCAAGCTTCAAAATGATATATGGAACGTTCCCATTGGACCTCTGTAGAGGAAGATATGCTCTTCCAAAGTCAGCCTAAAACTGCCATTTTAGTATAAATTTTGGCGGCACCTCCTTTATTTATTCAACCTATGCCACTTTATCAAAAGTGTGTTTTTAAGCCTCAAGGGTACCTAATAGACAAGGGCGGCACACAAGGACTAACAATGCCTTGGTGCTCTTACAACCCATAACAATTTACCATATTCAAATCAACTTACAATCCATTACTTAACTTTGTCAAAACTTAAACTCATTACAATCACATTATCCAATTGCATGCATTTTTCAATAGACATATAAATCATAACCTAGAATAGGCCTATTGACCTTTCATCACATACATGCTTTAACATATTACACAAGGTCCATAATTATCAAATTACAATTCTCCAAATGGTAAACATAAATACAAGGAAATCCTCAAAATACAACAAGATAAATAATCAACTAGACTTAGCCAAAATGTAGCATGAACAAATATAACATGATACACATCCCTAATGCAATATACAATGTTCATGCTCTGAGTCTATCCTATGTCATGTGTGGCCTCAAAATGCAAAAAACTCTCTAACT